GCTAAGATACCAGCAACAGTTACCTTTATGGAACGCTTCTGGGTGCCAGGCCCTATGCCACACCCTTTACAAACAGAGTATTGCACACACGCACCCAATTGTTAAACCTCATTGTCCTGCTCTTTTCTTCCCAGCACTCACCACCGTCTGATGATCTTACGTATTTTATTTTCTTACTGTATGTCTCCCCAACCAGAATATAAGCTCTATGAGGATGGGTACCTTGTCTTTCTTATTCCTCGATACATCCACAGCTTCTAGAACATTAAGCAGTCTGTAGCAAGTCCCTAATTATGTGTGGATGAATAAATGATAAAACCTGACAGGGCAGCCTGGGTGGCTCAGTGGTTTAGCGCCGCCTTCAGCCCAGGGCGTGATCCTGGAGACCCGGGATCGAGTCCCACATCGGGCTCCCTGCATGGAGCCTGCTTCTCCCTCTGCCTGTGTCTCTGCCTCTCTCTCTCTGCATCTCTCATGAGTAAAAAACAACAACAACAAAAACTGACAACAGTTCTATGTGAGGTATGACTGTTCCCATTTTCCAGATGAAGAAACTGAGGCCTGGAGAGAAAACGGACTTGCTCAAGGCCATAAAACAATCCCTGGCAGAGCTAGAATACAAACCTGGGTCTCATGATTTCCAAAGCTGGACCTCTTGGACTGTATTTCTGTATACCACTTAGACATGGGCAAGGCTGGAGCTGGCCTTTCCTGGGATGCTGACCTTTCCAATTCCCAACTCAGTGCCTTCATGTCGGTGGCCTCATGATTTGTCATGGAAATTGGCAAAGCACTATCAGCCAGCCTTCCGCTTTTGGAGAGCTGGTCTACCAGCCGGCTATATGATCCAAATGTGCTCTGCTAGTTTTATTGATTGGCTCTTCCTAATCCTAAAATTCTTGGAGAACCCATTATTCCTCCTGGTCCCTTTTCCCTAAATCCGCTCTTCTACTTTGGTTTTTTGTTGTTGTTCTTGTTTTGTTTTATTTTGTTGTTGTTTTCTGCTCTTCTACTTTGCATTGCATTATTGTTCTTCTGCGGTCAAGTGCCATCATCCGTCAACTGAAGAAAACCAAAAGCAAATGGACAAGAAAACCAAGTTCAGAAAAGGAGCAAGCAGTCCTTTAGGGCAGGAAGGAAAGCTGCACTTCTCTCAGTGGGCTACTTTTTTAGACTTAGGGCCCCAGCATTGTGTGCATTTTTCCACATAATTGGTCCTTACTCCTCACAGACTGACACCCTGAGAGCCCAGGGCAATCTACCACCCATGAAAGCTTTTCCCAGGGTGATTTGTGGAGATGTGAGTCCTCAATTCCCCCATGTGCCTCCTCTTTCCTCATTAACCTTTCAGAACTATAATTATCAAGGAAACGGAGGGTGTCTGGTGAGTTTCCCTTCTCACACCTCTCTTCTAGCTTGGACAGGGGGGTTGTGTCCATCCAGGAGCTCCAGGAAATTCTGGGGCACAGTTCAGAAGAAATGGCAGGTGGTGTTTGATCACGGGACCCCCACCCTCCCCACCCCACCCCATCACAGAAACCCCCTACCCTCCCAACCCCACGGGAGGGCTGAGCTGCTCGTAAGCCAGAGTGGCAACAAATCTTTCAAGAGGCTGTTTGAAAATGCTTTATGGCACGTAGGGTTACAAGGCTCTAGCTGAACAAATGGAAAAATTAGTCTACCTTAAAATATCCAAGGCAAGTAATTTCCTATCACCTTGTTTCATAAACGTACTTAACATCTAGAATCTGGGCTTCCCAAAATATGGATAAGGGTCATCAGTTAAAATGGCAACTTGGAGATAAAAATCTTCTGCTTTAATAGTCACTCATAAAACGATGCCATCGGCCCTTCTGTTTGGAACGGGGTGGGAAGGGGAGTCGGGGTCCAACAACAGCAGTTACCAAGTGTTCTTGAATTTAACGGGCTTGAGGCAGCCCGTGAGCAGGATGCTTACCCCGAGTCCACCAAGGCTCAGCCTCAGACTCAGGTCTGCTCTCTCCACAAGGGCTTCCCAAGGTGAGATACCTGGGTTTGCTTTGGTTTTGCTTTTTCTTGGGTGAAGGTTTGCGTTTTTCTAGCTCCTTTCTCCAGATTTCAAAACTACTTCTCAGCCATACACAGAGTTCCTGATGACAACCACAGCTTGTTTTCTCAGTCTGCTTAAAACTTTATATTCTTTGTCCTTTTCGTTTTCCTCTTCCTCTTTCTTGAGCCTTTCTGCTCTTTTCATTCCCTTCATTCTTTCATTTTTTTCATTCACTCATTCATTTATTCCATTCCTTTAACAAAGATTCATTACATAATGTCGATGTATCAGGAATGGAGATTGCTCATCCTAGCGCCTCCGTGGTATACCAGTCAGACATTCCGCCTGCAGAGAGCTTCCTCTTGGGGCAAGGGGGCCATACAAGTGTAAGCAGAAAGGGGAGAGCAGAGCACTGTGGGCATGCACAGGACCTGCTGCTAAGAGCTGAAGAAGGCTCCCTTTGACCTAAGACCTGTAAGATGAGCAGGAGTTTGAGAAGGAGGTAAAGGGGAGGAGAGTCCCAGACTGAGCAAACAGCCGGTGCAAAGGCCGTTGGGCACAAGGTAGTATAGCTCAGCAAAGGCTCTGACCTGAGTGCTGCTGAGCTGAAGCATGAGGTGACTGGTGGCAAGAGATGTGGATGGAGAAATCAGTAAGGGGCCAGATACTGGAGGGCCTAGCCCCCCATGGCAAGAAGGTTGGACGGGATTTGGAAGGTGACACAAAGGTCGGAGCAGCGAGTGACATAATGAATAAAAAAGCTAATTAAGGGTTAACCCATTCTCCACCACACACCAAGGAACAGGGGCCTCTAAATCTCCCAAGATGCCTGGTGTCATTATCGAATGAGTAATCTGGCCCTAATGTTGATGACTGGGGGTGGGGGTGGGGGGAGGGTGGCTATGACTCACAGGGATCTGAAAATAAATCAGCCCTATAACTATAGATGCAAATGAGAATAAATGGAATCTCTGGGGCTGACTGCAGTTGGCCTTTTTTTTTTTTTTTTTTTTTTTTTTTTTTTTAAGGAGAGGCTGGATACTGAGATACGGGGTCTGCTGAACATTATAACATCTTCCCTGTACCTTTTGGCAGGCGAATTACTTCACAGGCCATGAATATGAGTCACTAAATTCTAAACCTTGGGCAAGAAAACAAAGTTTGATAAATGTGTCCAGCTACTGGAATAAAGACCCATAGCACAAACAAATCAAGAAGTTTAGACTGTGCCAATGCAAAAGGAGCCCCGGACCTGTGCTTAGTGTTAACACACGCATACATATACACACACTCAGCCACACACACACTCACATGTGCATACATGCACACTCACATACACACACGCCCTCCCTTTCCTCTTTCTTCCCTTGAAATATCAGTTGCAAACACTGATTCCTAATATACCACATGTCTGAAAGGTGACAAAATTAAAAGTAACTAGAAGATGCAGAAGAAGTATATTTCAGAAAGTTGGGGAAGGGTAGCTCATTTAAGGGGAAAAAAAAGAAATAAGAAAAAAAAATCAGTCAATCAAGAACCATGAATCCAAAAATCTCATCTTCTTCAAAATGTTCTAGTATTCTGTGGATTTATTCTATCTCCAAAATCCCTGTAGTATTTTTTATGGATTTAAAGGAAACTACTACCCACATCTCACTTTATTCTCTAGAAAACCTTATCCTGCTGTTATCACTTGAGGAAGTGACTAAGAAGGCCTGGCCTTTAATTATGGACCAAACACCTAGGTTACAGAACTTAAATCCTTTTAATTGTGCATAAAACCACACCAGAGGCCTGATTAGCTTGTCCAGTGTTAATTAGAACCCTTCTTAGGCATCACATTCTCTCCCACCCCCTACTTCATGACCTGGAATAGAAAAAGCCTAATTTTTCAAATATATGTTAAATCCAAGAGGTCTAAAAAAAATTTAAAGGCAGATTAAGTGGAGAAGGGGCTACATAGGAAGACTTCCAATTGGCCTTCACACTGAGCCTCTCAAGCCAGCAATAGCAGAAAATCCTCTCTGATCTTTTGTTAGAGAAGACTTCTCTGGATAACCCAGACACTTCCCTGCCTTTTTTTTTTTTTTAAGAGCCAGCATCTTTCAAAATGGTGCCTTCCAATAACCAACAACTCCCAGAAACAGTGAACATCACCGTCATTTGTCAAGAAAATTTGGTAACATTTAAGAGACATTTCCCAAGAAAGGCCTTCCTCCCCGCCATGGAGTTTTCTCGAGTCAAACTCCAATGGCCGTCTCTATCAGGAAAGCTGCCTCTGGCAAGGAGTTGAAAATGAATCTATAGTGGCAAAACAGAAAATTATTTAGGGGGGGGAGACAGAATTAAACTTCGATGGTTTTTCTTTCTTTTCTCAATTGTACTTTTGTTCATAGCTTCAGCTGGGAGAGAGAGTGCACACATTTAGTTTGGAGTTTATGAGTTCATATTTTATAATTAACGTTGCCAACAGGGGAGTTTGATTAATACCACGCAGTGGATTTTGAGCAATGTTCCATACAAATTGCCAAATTTAGCAATAAAATAAATTGGTTATGTGAACATAATTAGTAGGATGACTACTTAAAATTCAAAACTGAATGTGAATAATTCCAAATCATCTGAGCCACAAATCCATTATTTGTAGAGAAGGAGGAAAGTATAGCATTTTGCGTTTTATTTTGCCCTCAACCGCAATGTTATTCACCACCAACCTGAACATAATGGAACTTCTACAATGGGTTGTGGCAATATTTTAGAGCAACCCAGGAGCACGCACATGAGCGTGTGCGCACGCACAAAGGGAAATAAAGATAAGAAATGCTAAACTGTGAATTTTCATTGCAAATGTAAAAATCTATAACAAATTTTTCAGCAAATGCTGCATTACATTTTTCTGATGTGCTATACATAAACCTCTAGCGCACAGTTACACGGCAGAGCTTTTTCCCTTTAAATATTCACACAGTACCTTATTGTCGCCCTGGACTTCTGCAAGCCTTTGCTGAAGTTCTTTAATTTCTTCTCCCAGATGTTTATTTCGGTCCTGAGAATCTCTCAGTAGTTGTGCAAGATTAGCCTGGAAATGTCAACATATTACGGAATACAATCAGAAACACAGGAGTGGATAACTTGGGGCTTTGCAAGGCTTACTGAGGCTGGCATCCGGGTCGAGTGGAACCACACAAAGCCCATTAGGATAAATTCATACATGAATGCAGCAAGTGTGCAAGTCACACCACTACAAATGCATGGAGGGGAACGGTGTTGGCTTTGAACTTCAGTGAGGGTTGTTCTTTGTTTCCAGGCCTCACAGACAAGTAACGGAAGAGTCAGTCATATCCGACTTTTGAGACAAAAAATGGTAAGGGCTCCACACCAAAAATTTTGCAAGTGGATGCAGAGTTCAATTCTAAAATTTGAGCTGATAATACAAGAAAAGCTTTCTTCATTTAGATAGTTTTCTTCTCCTTCAAATAGAACTGGTTTAATGAGCTTTTCTTTGCTACCTCAATGACCAGAATTTCGATCACGAGATGAGGCAGTGGGAGAGGGGACAAGGGATGAGCAACCACTTCAGAAATCGGGGACCAGAGGTAGTCCAGCAGTCCCCTGGGCTGGTTTTTTCACCTCCTTGTTCCCCTCTTTGGGTCCTGTGCTCCTAGGGCCATTCACCTGCCAGTCCCAGCTTTATGACGACATCCCCTCCATAGGATGTGCTCCCTGTTCAGACCTGGATCCCTCTGGCCCATGTGGATCCCTCTCCATTGCTCGGGTTCTCGCCTTGCTTATAGCCTGATCTAACCTTGCAAGAAGACCGCAAACTACGGAAAGGCAGAGATTCTGTTCTCTACTTCTCAACATCCGTGACTCTTGCTCCAGGAAGGGCTCGTGTTCCAGCAAATGTTTTTTTTTTTTTTTTTTAATTTTTTTTAATTTTTATTTATTTCTGATAGAGAGAGAGAGAGAGAGAGAGAGAGAGAGAGAGAGAGAGAGGCAGAGACACAGGCAGAAGGAGAAGCAGGCTCCATGCACCAGGAGCCCGACGTGGGATTCGATCCTGGGTCTCCAGGATCGCGCCCTGGGCCAAAGGCAGGCGCCAAACCGCTGCGCCACCCAGGGGTCCCTCCAGCAAATGTTTTAAAGACTCATGATGAGCAAATGAATGAATGAAGGAAGCAAGCAAGCAATGAGAATATGGCCTTTGGGAAGGAATCATTCAGAAATAGTCATACAGGAGATTTTAAAGATTATCTTGAAGATTCCCTTCATGTTATAGCTGAAGAAACCCAAATCCAGAGACATTAGGGGACCAGTGTAACTGTAGTGGCCAAATCTCCAAAGACTTCAATGCTAATACATTTTTGGGGGGATGGGCTCCTGGCTGGCTCAGTTGGGACATCTGACTCTTGATCTTAGGTTCATGAGTTCAAGCCCACGTTGGACATGCAGCCTACTTAAAAAAAATAAATAAATAAAGATTTTTTTTAAATGCTAACACTTTTGGGAATACTCAATTATGTCAAGTACTAAAAAAAAGGAAATAAGGTGAAAGAGACTAAAAAAGATTAAACCTTGGCGTGGCTCATCCCTGACTCTGCTCTTGATCTCATCTCCCATTTCCCACCAGTTGGAGTATAGGTTGTCTCTACCCTCAGGGTCTTTCCCACTCCAATTCAGCTCACCCCAAGTTTACCTCCTTGCTGTTCCCCAAGCATACCAGGCACGCTCCCAGCACGCTCCTGTCGCCATTGCCTTATGCTCTCTCATGGGAATGCTCTCTCTCTAGAACAGCTCTTGGCCCCCTCCCCCTCTCACTTTCTTCAGGCCTTTGTGGAAAAGCCACAGTCTCAACAGAGCCCACCTGGACCTCTGGTCTAACACTGTGACCTCCTTTCAAGGTGGAGACCCTGATCTTCCAAGCCCCTTCCCCTACACTACTTGTTTTTTTTCTTTCATAGCCCATGCCACCACTGGGTAATTTATTTCATGGCTTACTGCTTACTACTTATTTCCTGCCTCCCTCTCCCTACAAAAATAGAAGTTCCATGAAGTGCAAGGAACTTTGTTCTCTCTATGGATCTACCCCAAGCACCTAGTAGATGCTCCATAAATATTTTCTAAATGAAAGACAATATGCTGAGTCTGGAGGTCGTGGTTTCAGCCTAGGGAAGAATCTGGAATATTAACAATATGTACCAACACTGAAGCCAGTGCTGGGCACAGACCGAGTCTTGTGTGGAAACCTGACTCATCCCTGCTGGCTGGATTTAACCAATCCCTGTATTACTCAATAATGCGATTCATTTTCCACCTCATATGTGCAAGGTTCATATTTTAGGATAGTTGTATTCTGATTTTCCCAGATTTCCATTCTTATCAGATAAAAATTTGATGAGGGATGAGGAAAATTCATTCCTTTACAAGTAACAAAGAAAAACACCTGAAGACATACAAACAGAAAAACAACAGCTACTGTGACCAACGGACTATCTTTGGAAATTTTTAGAAATCAGAGAAGTTAAGCTGGATCCCAGTCTGCCACTTACTGGGCTGAGTGACAATGGGTGAATTCTTCAACCTCTTGAGTTTCCCCACCTGTAAATACAGCTAACCGCACATACTTCATGTGGTGATGTGCTACCTATATTGAATAGTGGGCACAGGACACCTACCACGGTGTGTGGTATATAGTAGGTGCCGGTAAAAGGGTTGGTTATCTCCTCTTGACTGTGTCCTTCCAATAGCTCCAACTCAACCACTCACGCAGCTGTTGGGTAGACATGGCCAAATGCATCCTTGGACACAACAGGCTCCTTTGTGATCCTGCCCCTTCACTATTCCTTATCAATTCATTTACCTATACAACAAATATTTGTTGAGCATCTACCAGGTGCCAGGCACCGTTTTGGACTCTGGAGACACAGCAGCAGCGAGCAATACAGACAAAACACACCTTGCCCTCTTAAACTCACATTTGAGTAAATGATATTACATTTGTTACATTATGTTGTAATGAAATCCAGAGGATCCAGTGGTTGGAGGATGAGTGCTATGGAGAAAAACCAAGTGGGTAAAGGGAACACGGTGTGCCCCAGAAAAGGATCACATTTAAACCAAGACTTAAAAAAAGCAGAGAGAGTGGGACGTGAACTTTGTGGATGGGAGGGGGGAATGGTCCAGATAAGGGGAAAGGCATCTGGCTTCCCTCCTTCCCTCTCCCATCACATGACACGATCATGCTGGAAAGCAGTTCAAGGCCATGAGAGGGGGCCCATCCCCTGGGGACCGCAGTGCAGTGATGATTCAACTCTTGCCTTTCCTATCCTGCTTCCTCAGCACAAGGTATCGCAAGTGGGCCGCCTCTGCTTTCCCTCCACAAACCCCAGAACATCTCCCAGACATTAGCTCAGCCAGCATAATCCCTCCCTCACAGGCTGGAGGGACTTGCCCCAAGGAGGGGCCGAGAAGCAGCATCTCAGCACCCCCTCTGCAGGAGACACAGCAAAATTCACCTTCGTAGGACCTGCCTCTTCTTAAGCAGCCCAAGGGGCGCTCAGAAACAAATGCTGGTGCGGGTGACAGTGAAGGGGATCAAGAGGACACTGATCAGGACAAGCGCTGAGCAATGTCCAGGGATGTGGAATCACTACTGTACACCTGAAATGAATATAACATTGCGTGTAAACTACACTGGGATTAAAAATAAAATTAAAATTTTAAAAAAGAGTATCAGTGGAAATTTAATAAAAGACCCCCCTAAAAAATATCTGCAATGTTCCTAATATTTCCTTTTTTTTCTAAAGATTTTTATTTATTTATTCCTGAGACACACACACAGAGGCAGAGACACAGGCAGAGGGAGAAGCAGGCTCCTTGTGGGGAGAGCCTGATGTGGGGACTCGATCCCAGGACCCCGGGATCATGACCTGAGCCAAAGGCAGCCGCTCAACCACTGAGACACCCAGGTGCCTCTTTTTAATTTCCTTTTTGAATCAACAGTGGCTTGAGGCCCTCGGGCAGTGGCAGGACTCTGTTGTTCACTCACCAGCCTCAAGCAGTGGCTAAACCAGTACAACCTGATCTGTCCGCGGTGAAGGCCCGGGTCTCTACCTCCAACCCCAGCACAGGCCAGAACTTTTGTAAAGCACATTTTTTAAAAAAAAATCAATTACTACAAAAATTAATTTCCGGTGACATCAGGATAAAACCCCAAGTGTTTGGTCGAGTCAACAGACATAAAGTCATGCTGTCTAATTTGCCATGGGAGTCTCTGCATTCATCGCGGGCCAGAAGCAAGCAGCCTGCAGCCCCAGCATGGGCCTTGGGCCTCAACTCAAAGTGCTCCACGGGCTCCCAGGTGTTGGCCCCTTAGCGCAGGACAGGCACGCAGTGGACACCTCAAAGGTCCCAGTGCCACCCAGAGCAGAGGACAGGGCTGCTTTCGGGAACAACGATTTACAGAGCCAGGGATGTGACTGCCAACCATCACTTACTCCGCAGCCGGCTGAAAAGAGTTTTACCAAAATCAAGCCAGGCACCTGTACAGCAGCCGAGAACGGGGGTCAGCCGGGAGCACAGAGCCTCCCAGCTGGGCTCTAGTAAGCCTACCCCAGCTTTGAAACTGCCCCCCAACCCGCGGCCCTCACCCCCTTGGCAGGGCCAGCTGGGGGTGGCACCCCGCTTCTAAGCAGGTGGGACCGTAATTTTACATTTCACAGGCTGGGTTCCTTGTCAGCACACATTTCTTCTCTATGGAGTCTTTTCAGCCCTCCCGCCTCCTCAGCTGCAAAACAATAACTTCGGGAACTGGAAAATGACTGTTCTGATAACGGTACCTAACTCCTTGACATATACCTTAAGGAGGGGGAAAGGCAAAAAAAAAAAAAAAAGAAGAAAAAGAAAAGAAAAGACAGAAATGTAGTACATTTGAAAGCACTCAAAATAGAGGAGAAAAGTTCACACGATTCTTTTGACCAAAAATAACACCCATGACTCACACACGCTCCCTCTAACAATCCATCAAGCGAGCACGTGGCGCCTGCTTATAATTTATCAGCCAAGCAGAGCATTTTGTCT